TAACCCATTTCTGTTGATCTATGTATTTCTCTTACCAGGGAGCTGGCGGCATACTGTTTTCTTCAGACTCTCCATCTTGACTCCTCCTTCCTACTTCCTATTTCCTCCTTGTCTCCTAGTCCCTCCTATCTTCCTTTCCTATTGGCCAACAGTGCTTTATTATTAACCAGTATGAGAAACATATACAGAATGACATCTCCCATCAGTGGCCCACATCTTTAATCCCACTACACAGGAGACAGAGGCAGGCAGATTTCTGTGAGTTTCAGGACAGCCAGCGCTACAGAGAAACCCTGTCTTGAGGGTGGTGAGTGAAGGGAAGGAAGGTGAAATGATTTCAGGCTAGCCTTGGTCTGTGGGCCCAACATCCCTAGGGAAAACAACTCAGCCTGGCCCAACCACAGAACCTCAGCTAGCCAGCTCTTTGGGAGTGAGTGGGCCCCCTTGTCCCTGGAAATGGAGAGGGTGTGGACAGCCACGGTGTGTCTGAATCACTCCCTTCTTTTCCTTGGCCTTTGGCCAGCTGCCTCCTCAGACCAGTGATGTCATACCACGCTGACCTGAAGGTATGGGGTTGCCTGGTACAGTCCCCTCTGGGATGAGGTCTTGAAGGGAACCAGCCTGGAAGCTGGGTCCTGCATACATAGAGGTGAGTTGAGCAGATCTGACTTGGTAGGGTTCATATGGGAGGCGAGAGAATCCTAAGGCTGTGGCTGTGGCTGGGGGAGGAGCTGTGGGCCTCCTTTTCTTCCCTAGTATGTTATTGCTCCTGTGCTTACTGGAGAGGAAGAAGGGGAAGGGGGAAGTATGGTTGTTGACTTGGCATATATTCCCAAGAATATGGTGGGGTTTTTTTTTGGGGGGGGGAACAAAATCCTCAGTGTGAATTTGGGATTTCTTGGCTCTGTTGGAGAGGCAGGGAAGGTGTGTGGGCTCCTTTTAGTTATGTGATAAAGGGGAATGAAGTACAGTTGAGGGTATGTATATGGACTGGGTTTCCAGGTTTCAGAGTAGATTAGGTTCTGTGGATTTCATGATGGTAAAGTGTTAGGGGATGAGGTGGAGAAAGCAGGAATGAGGGATTGTTGGATGAGCAAGGCATATTTAGCCTGCTGACTTTGGATTCTTGTAGCTGTTCCTAAGACTAGTTTCTGCCTTCACCATAAGATACCAAGGCACTCTAAGTAGATTAGAACCTGTGGCCTGGCAGGGTCCTCTCCTTGTCATTGCTGCTCCAAGGTGGGCTGTGTGAGGAGGATGCTCCTGGGAATTCACACTAGGATCTCTTTCCTTTGCCTGGGAACTGATTCCAGGGCTATCTTAATAGTTCTCTTCTCTGCCCTGACCCAGGGAGGGGAAGAGTGCCCTGAACTCAGCTGGGCTCTAAATACCTGGTTGGAAGGAGTCAGAGGATGCCTCAGATGCCATAGGAATGAGTGTGTGCGCGCGTGTACGTGTGTGTGTGTGTGTGTGTGTGTGTGTGTGTGAGTGACCTTAGAGCCTTGAGGGTGGAGGGAGGGAACAGCCTCTGCACTGGCACTTTCTTGAAGGCTGGCCATAACCTCACCCCAGGGCTGGCTCAGAGAAGCAACCTTTCCCAGCATGTGTTGGAGCGACTTCTCCAGCAGTCTGGGCACTCTGCTCTAACACTGGAGTCACAAGAGTCTGGTCTTGGGCGCACTGGCCTGCTTAGCATGTCCAGGTCCAGTGCTGCCTTGAGAGCAAAGGGCAATGGGATGGCCCAGGTCTGGGCAGACTGCCTGGGTCTGTCAGCCTTCCAGGGATGGGGTAGGGGTGTAAGGACAGTGACAGATAGACTGATGGGCAGTTGGTCGCAGACATTGATTCCATGACTGTGTGAGGAGTGGGTTAGGGAGTTTAGAACTTGTAGGTCTGCCCAGCAGGTGGGTGGAGTAGACTTGGGTGGTGAGGCTGGTGGAGGAAGATGTTTGAGATTGCCAGGAGGGGCTCGGTGAATTAAGAGACAAGCTTCTGTGGCTTCTTAAGTGACTCCCATATTATTGAGTGTCAGGGTGTTTGGATCCCTGAGGTCCTAATTGGTGGCTCCGGAGCTTGAGTCCTGGAGGCATCCTGAAGTGCTGAGGAGCAATGGCTCTGCAGTCAGAGCCTTTCCTCTGGTGTCCTGAGGGTCGCAGCTGCCACTGCTTGCTGGTTAGCTGCTTGAGGGGAAACTCAACACAGAGACATAGAATCTGGGGAGGAGGTTGTGAGGAGGGGTTACCCTCAGGCCCAACCGAAGCAGTGGCTGTGATAACCTGCTGGTTGTAGACCTGAGCCTTTGGAATTCATGCAGGTGCCAGGATTGGAGTCCTTCCAGCCAGGCGCTTTAGCAGCCCCTCCCCTCCTGGAGGATGCTCGAGGCCCGTCCCCCTTATTCCCCCCCCCCTTGACGCAGGGGAGTGACGCTGCGGGTGTTGCTGCTGCCGGTGCTGCTGGAGGGGCGGGGGCTGCGGGCAGCACCGCTTCCCTCCCTACCCCAACGGTGGGACTTTGGGTCCAATGGGGGAGAGGTCTGCTTACCAGCGCCTGGCTGGGGGCGAGGAGGGACAGCAGGTAATGGGGATAGCTAGATACCTGGAGCTCAGGCCTCATCTGTGCGCCGCCCCCCCCCTCCCCGCTCTGCTCTCTGTAGCAGGAGCTTCCTAAGAGTCCAGGGTGCCTGTGCTTTTTTTCTCTTTGTCCCACCCCTTACCTCCCAAATCCTTAGGGCCAGGAGGCTGGGTGCAGTGTGTGTGTGTGTGTGTGTGTGTGTGTGTGTGTGTGGTGTGTCTGAGGGATGGTGGTGGTAAATTATTCATGCTGGTGTCTGACTAGGTGAGCATAGATTACTAGGGACCCAAATAAGATACCCTTTGGGCTTCCTGCATTGCAGGTTAGGAGCCTAGGAAACACAACTAGTATTTGAGTACACTCTGTTATGGGAAGAAGCTGTGTTTTGGGCGTTTCCATTTATCGACCCGTTGAGTATATGTATCAATCCAATATCCCTGTGTGCCTTGGAAAATGGCACAGTATTCATGGGGCCGGTTCCTTCCCTTTGGAGATTAAGCACTATCTTTCCTAGCCGGGAGAGGGCAGTAGCTGTCAGGAGAAGGGAAACGTGCCTGGGAGTTGAGAGGCAGAAAGGTCAGGACTATTTTCCCAGGCAAGAGGAGGTCCAGACTGATCTGGCTTCTGACCCCGCAATATTTGTACGTTGCCACTCTTCAGGTCTCCATAGCTGGATGCTGGGTAAGCTGCCAGGTGTTCTTACCTAGACGCCCGAGGGAAGGATCAGGCATGGGGTTCTGGTGGATTTGGGGCATGCCTTTCTGGGGTGCTTAGAGTTTTTACTTTGGCCATTCTAATCATGCTCAACTTGCAATAGAGGAAATAAACCTGTTTAATTCAGTGACAGGCTTAGGTCTGTTTCAGGTGGTGTCTTATGGAAAAGGCTAGGCTGTATTTGTAGCCTTCTCCAGTCTGAGGGTGTGGTCAGTCAACTTGTGGAGAAAGGCAGCGTACATGTATCCTCAGCCTGACCTTGCCTTGTACATTAGCTTTGACCTCAGTCCTCACAGCAATTATTTGCTAAAAAGCCCAAGGAGAGGCTGCACCTGGCAATCCATAGTCTTTGTATAAATGATGGCAGTGGAGAAGGGCTATTGCCAGCCCTCCCCCCATCAGAATAGGAAATGACTGTCCTTCTAGCTAGGGAGTTCAAATACTTGAAGAGATTCTGGAAAGAGGGGGATGCTGACTCCCCAAAACTCTCAACCTTAGCTGCTTCCCCCATGAGCCAGCTGTGGCTCTCTGAGCTGGCAGCCAGCTGGGTAGGGACAAGAGAGCAGTGTACAAGAAACAGGGGCTCCTTACACATGGCTGGGGGGCGGTGCTGGGGTCTGGGGAGCAGAGAGGACTTCCTGCAGCTGTCAGGTGTATCTGGGAGCTGCAGCTAGGGGTTGTAGAGCAGCTGGCATTCTTGAGGAGCAGAGGGACCATTTGTCAGCTGTAGGAATATGGGGGGCCCACAGGGGCTTGATGGAGTGCCTCCAGGCCCCCTAAGCTGAGGCTGTTATGTGTGTGCAGTGCTGTACATGATCTATCCTGCAGCCTGAGGTAGGAGCATCTCAGCAGAAGGCTTGGGACATGTTCGTTTATTTGGCGAGTCTTGGATCTTTGCCAGCTAATCTGGGGAGTAGGCACCCTGATTGTGTGGGCAGTATACAAGGCGATCCCAGGGGAGATCCCCCCCCCCCCAGCTGGACTGTCCCACTCTGGCAGGCTGCCGGCCTCCTATTTCCGTCGGGCACCAGGGTAACAGGGCGACATTAGGGTCTGAGCCAGGAGATATCCAGCCAAGGTTGGGACGTGTATGGGGGAGGGTCTTTGAAGGGTCTGTCTGCAGGATCTAGGAAAGACTGAGTTCAAGCCCCCAATTCAGGCTGCATTCAAGTCCCCATAGGTCCAGAAAAGCCCTTATGGGGGCTTGTAACCCCTTTTTCTATGTGCTGTTTGGTTCTCAGCCCCCTTGCTGAAGTCCCAGGAGTTGTCTGCAACTGCGAGGGTTGCAGTGGAAGCTAGAGACAGGGAGCCTTGTGTGTGGGGAGTCAGTAGGGCCAGTGCTGGGAGGAAGAGTGCCCCCCCATTCCTGCTGTCCTCTTGGCAGTGATTCAGAAAGGTCTTTTTTCAGCCAGTGTCAGAGCGGCTCAGCTGGGGCGGGAGGGAGACAGGGAGGGAGGGAAGAAGGAGGACAGGCAGACAGGCACAGGCGGGCAAGCAGGCAGTGGGGGAAGCCGATTGCCTGGGAGTAGGACTAGAGCTTGAGCACTGCACTGAGAGGAGACAGGACAGAAGACCCAGCCCTGCAACCAACCGTGGAGCACAGCCACCACTCCATTCTTCTTCCCCGATTCCTACTTCTGTGTGGGATTTGGGGGATTTCTAGGACAGGTTCCCCACCCCCTGGCCAGTTTCCTTTCTGGGCAGAGCATAAAATTCAGAAGCTGAGGCCCTTGCCTGCCCACTTTAGATCTAGGACAGAGCTCCTCTGACTTGCTTAGGGGCTTCAGTTCGTGGAGATGCCAGCAGCCCGTCGGTTCCCTGGCCTTGAACTCTCCTTTCCTCTACTGGCCAGACTGCGGCGGCGTCTGTACACAGTGAGTGGGGGGCTGGGGGTGGGAATCAGACTGATTGTAGACATGGTTAGCTCGTCAGTAGCACTTTACAGAGTGGCATGTAGTAGGCATGACTGAGGGACACCTTCATGAGGCTTGATGGGATTATAGGCTGAAGTACTTTCCTTTCTAGCTGCTGCTGTGTGTGTGTGTGTGTGTGTGTGTGTGTGTGTGTGTGTGTGTGTGTGTCTGTCTGTCTGTCTGTCTGTCTGTCTGTGGTCAGTCCAGTCTAGTGTGTGCTTACATGCAGGTAATGGAGCCAAATGTGTCACACACAGCTGGTGTAGATTCTCTACCATGCAATGAGCCAGACACACAGAGATGGAGACTGACTGAGTTACGAGTCACTGCTCTAGTGCCCTGAGCTTCACAAACAAAGAAACTTGGGATGGAGGGAGACTTAAGGGAGGCCACTTTGCACTTAGCAGTAGAAACAGGACCAACCCCCCACCTGATTCCTTTTTCTTCACTAGGCTGCCAGTGTTCTTTCTAGGCTTCAGTCTCCTCCCTCACAGCTGCCAGGTCCCGGATTGGGGACCAGGGAGGGGAGTGTCCATCTGAGCAGAGAGGTTGTTGGCTAGTTGATCGAGGAAGGGGAACAAGCTGGGCTGTGTTTTTTAAGTAGCATCAACAGGGCCTGTGGGTTTCATTGAGCCTCCCTGACTCTTCAGAATCTGACTTGGAGCTATTGTCTGGAGCCTAGAGAAGAGAATGGGGAGCCCGGGTCCTAGGGCTTGAGGGTGTGGGAAGAACGGAAGACCCATGGCTGCTTCTCCTGATGGGAGCCAGTCTCTCTTATCTTGAAGTCCTGCCACATGGCCATTGGGGCCACTTTGCTCCAGGGCCCGGGCAGTGAGGGAATGGTGGAGTCCAGCCCAGTGATTGTTCACTGTGCACCTTTGGGGTTTACTCTGAGGAGCTGTGGTGCACATCTGCTTAGCCCCCACACTTAGTTTGCAAACAGATGGTTTTGTTGAGGGTGAATGAGTCAGTACAGCTAAATGTTTGGTTCCTTCAAGTTTATTTTATCTTACTATTTTATGCACATGGTTGTTTTGCCTGCATGTGTGTTTATTCATCATGCGTGTACAGTGCCTGAGGAAGCCAGAAGAAGGAGTCATATCCCCTGGAACTGGAGTTACAGATGATTTTGAGGTGCCATGTGCATGCTGGTATTTGAACCTGGGTCCTCTGGAAGAACAATGAGTACTCTTAGCCTCTGAACCATCTCTTCAGCCCAAAAATATAGTTCTAAGATTATTATTTTCTTTTCACAAATAAAATTAATAGAAATGTTACATATTAAGTACATGTAGGGTCAATAAACATGTTGCCAACTATAATATGTGGAGAAATAAGAGGAAAATAGTTTGTAACACTGTATGTATTCTGTCCTGTGCTAGAGGAATTAGGAGGGAGCAAAGAGGCTTAATTAAACCCCAAGAGAGCCACTCAGAGAAGTTTTGAGATAAGAGTATATTCTTCATTAATTAGACAGTGGACTTATACTATGTTCCCAATAGAGTAGAATTTTTCTGTTTACACAGTATTAGCAAGATCAGGTGACATTAAAACTACAAAAGCATCTTCTTGTTTAAATATAAAATGGAATCTAAGTCTAATTTGGGGCCATTCTAAAGGTTTTCACCTGCATGAACTAAGTTGTGTAGAATTTGTGTTCAGGTCTGTCCTGTGCATTGCAGCATTGCAGAATAACTTGTGTTCTTAACCCCTATTACCTGCTAAATGTCACTAGCCCCCACCTCCCCACACATCACGACAAACAAAATATCCTCTATGAGGAGGGTTATATAGCCCCTTAGAGAGCCATCCAAATAGATTTACAGCTTAAAGTTTGGAAGCCACCTACCAGCCCAGCTAGCTGCCTGGCTGAGTTTACTCTGTGGAACAGCCAGAGTTTGAACCAAGGGCTTGCCATTCCCATGGTTACTCTTTGTGCTGCCCTGAGCTGCAGGGAAAGCCTGAGCACTCCTGAAGCTGTGGGGGCAGAAGGCTCATGCTGGTCCCATTTCCCTTACTTCGTCTGTGCTGTGCTGAGAGTGCGCTGTGTTCAGGAGGGGTCACCTGGTCCCTAACCAGACAGATGGCCTATGTTGCCATCCCCAAAATATTTTTGAGGATAAGTTTTCATACAAATTTTGACATCTGGTACTGCAAAACTGACAAGTTTTAGTTAAAGTCCTGGGCCTCACTCTGGTGAGAGCTGTTTGCAGGAGGTGAGTTCCTGCTTCCTGAGATGTCTGAAAACCCTCTTCAGCCCACACCTCCCACCCTTGCCTTCATCTTGGGGCCCTTTAGGCACCTGGGTGTAGTCCAGGAATCAGGTCAGACAGTGAGAACAGGACTGAGATCTCTGTGGGGTCTGTCTGACAAGGGCTCCAGTGGATGAATCTCAAAGGGTCATTGTACCCCACCCCAACTTTTAAGTGGGATTTTAGGAGTAAGTTGATCGATACTATCAATCTATGATTCACGAGGCCCCCGAGTGTGGAGGTTGATCTCAGTTCACTGGTTCACTCGGCCAGACATGACTTGTGACTGTTTCAGTGTGGGGCTCATCTCAGCTGTCCCATCTCAGCTGTTACAGAGTGCAAGAAAGTGCTTTTGAGTTTTATAGAATGCCAAGGGCAGGTCTCCTGTCACCTGCTTACATCTCCTGGCCTCTCAGCTTTCCTTCCTTTTCCACAGAGGCTGGGGAGCAGCAGCATGCAGCCAGAGGAGGGCACAGGCTGGCTGTTGGAGCTGCTGTCCGAGGTGCAGCTACAACAGTATTTCCTGAGGCTTCGAGATGACCTCAACGTTACCCGTCTGTCCCACTTTGAGTATGTCAAGAATGAGGACCTGGAAAAGATTGGCATGGGCCGGCCTGGTAGGAAGCCCTTGGGCCTTGCTTTATCCTCTGACCATTTATTTACCTTGCATGTCTTCAGTGTGGCCCCACACACCAAGAACCCCTTTGTCATGGCTGCCTGAGGTGAAGGGGAGGTATCAGTAGAAATGCTATTCACAGGGTTCCCTGGGAATGGTTTGTATTTGTAAATGTGAATTAGAATTTGAGGAGAATGACCACTCGGGGTTAATTGCACACATCTTCTCTGGCTTTCCCCCTCCAGTCCTGGGTATTGAATTTAGCGCCTTGCCTGTGCTACCCAGGCACTCTGCCTGTGAACACATCTCCAGACCCCCGCCCCCCCCCCACACCTTTTTTAAAAAAGCCTACTGGGAATTGAACCCAGGGCCTTTCACGCTGAGTGAGCACTCCACTACTGAATTTCAGCTCTAGTCCTTTCTGTACTTTGTGTTTTGAGACAGAATCTCAGTTAAGTTACCCAGGATAGCCTTGAACCTGTTGTGTAGCCCAGGCAGACTATGAACTTGAGTCCCTGGTAGCTGGGATTGCAGGCCTTTGCTACCAGGTCTGTGTTCTAGCCCCTTCACCTTCATGCTTGATCAGATATTTGTGGGGTGTTTCCTGTGTCTCTTTTGTAAGTGTAGAATTGTCTCCTCTGTTTCATTCTGAAACAGTGGGGTCAGTGCCAAGAGATTTACAATGAGAAGGGAAGACAAAAACTCTTAGATGGGGCCAGAGAGATGGCCCCATGGATAAGAGCATGTACTGTTAAAAGTCAGGTAGCTTGAGACTGCCTGTAACTCCAGTTCTGGGGATCTGATACCTCTTATGATCTCCATGGGCAACTGCCCACATAAGACTCACACATACACACTGACACACACATGCATAAGTAAAAAATTTAAATTTTTTAAAAGAACATCTCTCAGATGGTTTGCCAATACACAGAAACTTTATCTTTCATTTCTTTCTAAACTAAAACCAGCAGTTGCCAGCTAGAAGTCATGTCATTCTCTGTGGAACATTAGGAATCCTTGGGCTGTGGTGGAACTCACTCATTCAAAAGCAGAGTGCTGGGTTTAATTCCCAGCATCGTAAACACCTGTAAGTCTAGCATTCAGGAGGTGGATGCAGGAGGGTCAGTAGCTCATCCATCAGCTACATGGCAGATTCAGCCAGCCTGGGCTACTATAGACTGTCTCAAAAAACACAATCAGAAAACTTGATGTGTTCAACTCAAAATAGCCAAATGTTTTATAAGCTAAAAAATGATGCTAACTTTTGCTACTTCTGGCTTGGATAGCTGATTTCTGTCTTGGTGTTACAATTGCTGTGATCGAAACACTGTAATCAAAGCAGGTCTGGTGAGAAGGGTTTGTTTGGCCTGTACTTCCATATCAGCCTTCATCACTGAAGGAAGACAGGACAACTCAAATAGGGCAGGGACCTGGAGACAGGAGCTAAGAGGCCAGGGAGGGATTGCTGCTGACTGCTCATGGCTTGCTTAGCCTGCTTTCTTATAGGACCCAGGACCTCGGGGTGCCCCTCCCTTCAATCACCCTACAGCTGGACCTCCTGGAGGCATTTCCTCAATTGAGGTGCCTTCTCCTGATGACTCTAGCTTGTGTTGTGTTGGCATGAAACCGGCTAGCACAGTGACTGTTGTCAGTAGTGTAACAAAATTTTATGGGAAGTAAACCTTAGAATGGGGAAAATTCTGTATATTTCCTTACCTGATTTGTCTGGAGAGTTGGAGAGATAATTCCCACCATGACTGTTCAGTGTTGATGAAAAAACACCTTTACCCAGTTTGAGAATCATCTAGAAGTACAATGCAGAGATTGGGTGAATGAAATTCTTGGTTGGTTGAGCAACCGATTCAGTTGGTGTTGTTGTGTTGAGCCGTATCTAGTGGTGGGCCCTAGGGCCCTAGGGACTGAGGAAGCCTGCCAGGTGGATGGCAGTCTTTGGGCAAGCACGTGAGCTCTCTGACTCCCCTGGGCTCATTTTCCCTCCTTGCAGGTCAGAGGCGACTGTGGGAGGCTGTGAAGAGGAGGAAGGCCATGTGCAAACGCAAGTCATGGATGAGCAAGGTGTGTGAGTAAGCTGTGTGTGTGGAAGAGGCATGTGCTGCTGGCAGGCCTAGGAACCTTCTCCCCGGCAGGTTAATGTCACCAGTTCCCTCGCACTTTGTACAGACCCCCTCCTCTAGCCTTTTATCTGGCAGGGCACTTGTGGAGCTGCCTGGCTAAGTGCTAAGTGTCTGTCTCCGGCACAGACGGACACGTGAACAGCCTGTATGCAGAGAGGGCTTCACAGACTCTCTGTGTGCAGGGACAGGGACTTGTTGACAACCAACCCTCCCTCCCTCCCTCCCTCCCTCCCTCCCTCCCTCCCTCCCTCCCTCCCTCTTTTCGAGAGTCAGGCCAGTGTCCAGCCTGGGGTAGCAGGGACTGCCTGGACATCTTGGATTTGACATGCCGCCCCGTGTTCCCCATGTTCCCTGGTCTTCAGGTTCCTTTGGTCATCTGGCTGTGCTGACAGCTTCCTTCCCCACAGCTCCCCCCACCCAGCCTAATTTGGGTCTGTGGTGTTGTGACTCAGTGGAACTTTGCCCATTGTCTGGAAGACAATGAGAGAGGAAGTGAGCCAGCCAGGGCTTCCCTCCCCACTCCTGGCCTCAGAACTGGGATGGGGGTGAGCAGGACAGAACCGTCAGGGATTGGGCAGTAGAGAGTTCCTGTCTGCAGTCTGGCAAAGGGGCTGTCTCTTGAGAGCCTGTGGCCTTTTCTGGGGACACAGTCCTGGTCCTTTGCCCAGGTTTTAGCAAAGGATGAGTGTGCTGGGCTGATTGGCTGTAGAAAAGAAAAGCAATGTGGGATTTTTGGATCTAACCCTGACTCATAGTAGGTCCCTGAGTGTTCAGTGACCCTTTCCAAATTGTCATGTCTTCAGCAAACCAGTATTGGCCTCATCACCTAGCATATCTTGAAGGGCTTTGGAAGGGTCCCTCCTGGATGCAATGACTGAGGTAGACCTTACAAGGTGAATATTACTGGTAAATATTAGGAACTCTAGTTACTGGGAGGAAGGAACAGAGTTCAAAAAATGTCCCCAGATTTGAGTGCCCCTTAGCACATGCAGGTGAGGCTGGCCAGCCTTTAGGGAGGTGAGAGTCTGCAGCCTGCCCCAGCAGACTACCATGGCCCAGTCTGCTCACGGGCCTTCTTTTTCCCGTCTCCTGACCTTTGGCTCTTCTCAAAAATGGGCCTCAGAGACCCCTCTAGTCTCCCTTCCTTCTCAGCCTCTCTCTCTAGGCGGCCCTCCAGAAACCCAGCTGTCTTCCCAGGCCCTTCTCCAGCAAAGACTGGCTTCATCAGCACCACACATAACACACACCCATGGTTCAACCTCAGACTAAAATTATCTTCTCCCCTGGGCAGGATGAAGGGCAGCCGACTCCCCAGGGAGGGTAGACAGACAGCACCAAATGGTTAACCCAGAGAAGGGGCCAGGGCTAAAAATGGACAGGGAGGTGTTTGGAGGGCCCCTCAGGCTCCTATCCTCTCTCTGTGCTAGGGGCAAGCGTGTGTGATGGATAAGAGTTTTGTGAAGGGAAGGGTAGGATGGGGAGGAGCTGGAGACGGGAGTGGGGGGCTGGGCTGATGTACCTAGGAGACTTTGTACTGTCTCTGTCTTCAGAGACCATTTAGGGGTCAGGTCACTTCGGCCACAGCTACATTTTTACCTGTTTTTGACACCTACCCTGAGGCTTTAGCTGTGGATTCCTAGTTAGTGTATACACTGGAGGGGAAAGTGTGGCACTTTAACAGGCTCCCCCTAGGCAGTTTGGCAAAGCCAGGAGCTGTTTGAGGATTACCAGTGGGATGGAACTGAGGGGCTCTGGGGCCCTGGGTTCCATATGGCTCCTGGCTGCTTTCAAACAGGTGTTCAGTGGAAAGCGGCTGGAGGCTGAGTTCCCTCCCCATCACTCTCAGAGCACCTTCCGGAAGCCCTCACCTACCCCAGGGAGCCTGGCAGGGGAGGGGACCCTGCAGAGCCTCACCTGCCTCATCGGGGAGAAGGACCTGCGCCTCCTGGAGAAGCTGGGAGATGGCTCCTTTGGGGTGGTGCGTAGAGGCGAATGGGACGCCCCTGCAGGGAAGACGGTGAGCTCTGGGGTGGGCCCATCTCCCCTTCTTATGCCAGGAGATGACTAACCAGGGACAGATTGTAAAAGTACTGACCTTCTGGCCATGTTCAGGTTTAACCAAGCACAGTGGTTTCAGATAGTTTGCTTACTATTACAGATTGGACACTGAAAAATGAAAAACCAATGGTCTGTGGTTCCGAGGCTTGAGTGAAACAGCTGAGAGCTGCCTCCCCTCTACCCCCACCCCACAGGTGTTCTGTTGGGTTCATTGAAGATACATCCCCTTTTCCAGGGGAGGCTGCTGTTGCAAACGAATTACTGTTCTGTCTTCATACTGCTCATCTCTTCACTTACTGTCACTGCTAACTTGGGAATTTTCCTAGAAAGAGGAGGCCCTCATTTAATGACCTCTAGAGGTCAGTCAGCTGCTGTCCCCATGCCAGGGGCATAGTATGTAAACTGATGACATGCTCACCCACTCAGGCAAACAGGTCTGAGACAAGGTTCTTTGCGTTGAGTTGGAAGGAGCAGTTAGCTCAGTGTTGGGGACCATGAAAGGTCTGACTCTGCTGCTAACCCTGCTTTTGGCAGGTGAGTGTGGCTGTGAAATGCTTGAAGCCTGATGTGCTGAGCCAGCCAGAGGCCATGGACGACTTCATCCGGGAGGTGAATGCCATGCATTCACTTGACCACCGAAACCTCATTCGCTTGTATGGTGTGGTGCTTACACCACCCATGAAGATGGTGAGTTCTTAGGTGGGAGGGAGGGTCAGAGAGCAGCTTGCAGGTTCTGGGCCCCCAGATGTGCTCTTCCTCCTGCCTGCTGTGGTCTCCCACCATGTGTGGCAAAGGGGTTTACCCAGGTCTTGCCTAGTACTGTTATTTTTAGATTTCCTAGTGCTCATTGACAAGGAGATGTGCCCATAGGAAGGGCAGGATTTTAACTGGAGCTGGTCTTTGGAATATCTAGTGTGAGCCTCTTTGGCGTGCTTCTGTGTGGGTCTGAGGTTCCTGTGGTGGCTGGAGGGACAGGCTTGGGAAGCTTTTAACAGACAGGTTAGGGAGGAGCATTAAGTATGGCTATGGCAGACCTCCAGAAAGGGACTGGAAGCCTTGCCTCTCAGAGATGTACAGATTTATCCTCTATCTTATGTCTGACCTCAGGTGACAGAACTGGCACCCCTGGGATCTCTGTTGGACCGGCTACGTAAACACCAAGGTCATTTCCTCTTGGGGACTCTGAGCCGCTATGCTGTGCAGGTGGCTGAGGGCATGGGCTACCTGGAGTCCAAGCGCTTCATTCACCGTGACTTGGCTGCTCGAAATCTGCTGCTGGCTACCCGTGACCTGGTCAAGATTGGGGACTTTGGACTGATGCGAGCTCTACCCCAGAATGATGACCACTATGTCATGCAAGAACATCGCAAGGTGCCCTTTGCCTGGTGAGGGGCAGGTGCTGCTGGCCTGTAGGGCCTGAGCTCCACCCCAGTCTCAGAAGATCCACAAACTTCTGGGACTCTTACCCACCACAGGACTATGTCTGCCCTGGCCTGTCCTTACCTGTTCTGGGCCTGGGGTGCCTTTCTTATGTACTTACATGTTTGTACACCCATCCAAGGAATTCTCCAGGGGGATCCTGGAAGGCACAAGGGTAACTGCTCCTGAGATTCAAAGTGCTTGGTACTTGGTAGGGTGCTACAAGGCTTCCTGGGGGATTTGCTGTAAATTTAAAATGTAGAGAGAGTAGCCAGGCAAGAATGGTCAATAGATGTGTTTAGGTCAAGCTAGAGACAGGCTGGGAATAGATTGTGCTGCATCTTGAAGGCTGTAACTAATGCTGTCCACCTGCATGTTGTGGTGGTACCTGGCCTGCCTTGGGCCCTGGTTGGAGTGTTTCTTTGCTTAGAGCATAGGGTTTCCTGGTGGCAGAAGTAGCCAAAGGGGGTACCAGGTAGGAGTCCCCAAGAAGCCTTCCCTTTGACCCTTATCTTTTGTTAGGTGTGCCCCTGAGAGCCTGAAGACACGGACCTTCTCTCATGCCAGTGACACCTGGATGTTTGGGGTCACACTGTGGGAGATGTTCACGTATGGCCAGGAGCCCTGGATTGGCCTCAATGGCAGCCAGGTGAGGGGACTAGGGCGAGGTCTCCATAGGGTGGGTGGGAGTAATCCAGCCGCGGCTCCCAGCCTGACCTTGTTGGACCTGATTCTTTTCTGGTAGAACGACTCATCTCTCGGATGCTCTGTGTTGACATGGCCTGTCTGAGAGCTTGGCCAAGAGAAGGGTGGCTGAGAATGTCAGGGGTGGACGGGGTGGGGGTGGGAGGGCATGCATGAGAGTTGAGTCCTGGGCAGGGCTAGGGCCCTGGGGACAGAGCCTCCCTAGAACTTGTGCTGTGGTTGGGCACGTGAGGCAGCATCTTCAGCTGTAGGTCGGGTCAGGGGAAGGTAGAGGTGATGAGGTGAGAGCTCTGCTGGCCCAACCTCTGCACATCTTGGCGGACAGATCCTGCATAAGATTGACAAGGAAGGGGAGCGCCTGCCCCGGCCCGAGGACTGTCCCCAGGACATCTATAATGTCATGGCCCAGTGCTGGGCTCACAAGCCAGAGGACAGACCCACATTTGTGGCCCTTCGGGACTTCCTGCTGGAGGTAAGGGGCAGATGAGCCCGCAGTGGCTGGGGAGTGCAAGCAGGGGGTAGTGTGAGGTCCAGCCTGGACTGGACAAGGCCTGTTTCTGCCCCCAGGCTCAGCCTACTGACATGCGGGCCCTTCAGGACTTTGAGGAGCCAGATAAGCTGCACATCCAGATGAACGATGTCATCACTGTGATCGAGGGAAGGTAAGGAAGGCTGTGGCCTCCACTGGGGCCAGGACTGAGAGGAACTTAAACAGGCTCTAAGAGTCCAGGAAGGCGGGTGGGGGTGGGCAGTGTCGGTGACAGGCTTCACACTTCTGAGAGCTGCTTGGATGGATTTTCCCTGCTAACCCCAGCTGCCCTTTCCCACTGGGCTCCAGCTCTGGCTATATTAGGGCCAAACTGCCATTGTGCCAGGATTAGGCTGCTGCCCAGCTTGGCCTCAGAGCTGGGGGCCAACACCACAATTCCCGAGTGTTTCTCATTCTTCTCCTCTGCTGTCTGCAACATAGGATTCTCCCTGATTTTTTTTGTTTTTTGTTTTTTTTTTGTTTTGTTTTGTTTTGTTTTTTTTTTTTTTGTTTCTCGAGACAGGGTTTCTCTGTGGCTTTGGAAGCTGTCCTGGAACTAGCTCTTGTAGACCAGGCTGGCCTCGAACTCACAGAGATCCTCTTGCCTCTGCCTCCCAAGTGCTGGGATTAAAGAAGTGCACCACCAACTGCCCCGCTTCCTGATTCCCAGTTTCTTGAGAGAAGGTCTCATGTAGCTCAGGCTGGCCTTAAACGTCTTATCCTGCTGTCTCTACTTCCCAAGTCTTGGGTTATGAGGGTGAGCTGCCTTGCCTAATTGCATAGGAATTTGACTATTCAACTTGGTATCTTTCAGACCCCTAAGCAGCCCCCCCTGTGTCCCCCCTCCCCCCCACCACCCCGCAGATCTCACCCTTTTGACAACTTCCCATCCCTCCTGTGGAGTTTCCTAGGGTTCCCCAGTGAGAACTGCTGAGTGTCTGACTTACTTGAAATTCCTACCTGCATCCCCCCATGGTTCTAGTTCCCACACCAGTCATCTGATCCCCAGAGTGTCTGAGGAACTGGTTGGGGCTGGGCACTGTGGGTGAGGGTTGAGAACCAGGAAGAAAGTGAAGCAAGGGAGATTTCGTGAGCTCCCCTCTGCTGACTCAGAGCTGGGTAGATGCCTGTAGGGGCCTAACCAGGGCTGGTGAGTCGGGTGAGTCCCAGCCTGAGAGTCAGTGGAATGGTACCTGGAGCTGGCTGTGTTAGATTTACCTGTATCCACTGCGGCCCCTGTCTCACTGCCACAGGCCAGGGCTCCCTCATGTTTGGCTGGACTTCCATTCTTGGAACAAGAATGATGTTCTAGTAGGTTACAGAGAATGGGAGGGGGTGGTGACAGAAGAAAGAAAAAACTGCTCTGGGAGACAATGGGGGCAGGAAGGAACCATGTGTGGGTTTGGACCTGAGGGGCAAGTGAGGGGTCTAGGAGACAGTACTCTGGAAATAGCCTGAGACAGGAAGATTTGAAGGTGGGCACCTGGCAGAGACTTAATGCTAGAAGTCCACTTCCAAGAGCCAGAAAGCCCTGGACCCAACTCCCTCTTGTGCTCCTGTGACCTCAAGTCTCCACCAGCCTGTCTCCTACTCCAACTGAAGCCTGTGTTCCCTGGGGTAACACAGGAGCTTCCTGTATGTCTCTGAAAGTGGTGCCCTGGGTCACAGAGAGCAAAGCAGGCTGCAGGAGGGGCCAAGGGAGTGTCCCTTCCTGGGAGGTTGTCCTGGGTGCACCCTGCCCTGCCCTTCTGCCCCAGGCTTCCATTGGCTTCAGCTGCTGGTACTGCCGCAGCCATGTCCCTCTGAGGTGCCAGCTCTTACTTGGTCCCTGGGACTGTTCAGGAGGTGGGAGGTGAGGGGCACAAGGCCACAGCAGCCAGCAAGCCTTGGGAGTGGGCCTGTGTGTCTGTGGTTGCCAGAGCTTTCCTCTGCCTGTTCACCCCCGGATGATGTTGTTTGTTTATCCGAGGTTTCCATGTCTCCAGGTGTGCGGCAAGAGCGTCTCTTTGGGTTGGGTTTGCCCACAAGGCTCTCTCTTCCTCTGGCTCCTGCCTGCCTGCCTTTCTCTTTTCCGAAGCTGTCATCAATGTTTCCTAGTTCCAACTCTAGGATGCAGCTTGTCCCAGTGCTCAGACTCTGTAAGTGCCATCCTTCTTAGGATGTGCAGCAGAGAGGACACCTAGGTATTCTGTGACCTGAGCTTAGGGGGCTCTGTCTAGACTTAGAGGTATGCCAAGCATGGTGGCACATACCTTTAATCCCAGCACTTAGGAGACAGAAATAGGAGGATCTCTATGTGTTCGAGGTCAGCCTGATCTACAAAGTGAATTCCAGGACAGTTGGGATTACCTAGAGAGACCCTGTCCAAAAACAAGCAAACAAACAAACAAAAAAAACCTAAAAAATAAATAAATAAATAAATAAATAAATAAATAAATAAATAAATACAGACCTGGGGATACAAATGCTGATGGGACTTTCTCAGGGGTCTTACTTGGAGGGTAGGATGGCTGACAGCTCTTTTGTGTGTGTGTGTGTGTGTGTGTGTGTGTGTGTGTGTGTGTGTGTGTGTGTGTGTGTGTTTCAGAAGTGGTATTGAGTGGGGCAGAGGTTTTGAAATCCATTTGCAGGTTCTTGGCCTGGCCTGGCCTGCAGCCTCCACTTCCTGTGGTAGGAGGGTGGAAGGCACCAAGTCTTTACCCTTGGAAGGGACAAAGTAGGGTTGTGTGTGTGTTGTGAGCGGAGTGTTTAGGTAACACCTCAGGAGGTGCGCAGAGTAGAGTCTAGGGCTAGTAGCCAGGAAAGGGAGGGGCTGCGGACAGGGTGCTGGGCAGGCATTGCTGCCCTGTGCTTTGCACAGGCAGCTCTGGTTGTGTGTTAAGGACCCTTTCTCTCCTTGGAATGGCTCTGCTATTTTCAGAGGAGATTGTTCCCTCTCTGGGTGTTGTCCTTTCTTCCTTCCTTCCCTGCCCTTCCTACCCTGAAGGCAGGGAGTAATCACAGGGTTGCTGTGGCTAGTGGTAGGCCAGCGGCAGCCTCAGGGACCAGAGCGCAGGGGTGCAGTGCACAGCACCTCCCAGCCCCTCTGCTGTGGCTTTCTCAGGAGGCCCTTCTGGCTCTGGGACAGATGATGTGACAGTGAGGACACAGGGCAGGGCAGGCAGTGGTGGTGCCGATGTGTCCCAGCAACGTCTCTGTTAGCACCGATGCCTTGGCCCAGACTCTGTCCACAGTCAGGTATGAGCAGCAGACAAGACACAGGGGCCTCAGCAGTCAGCTTTGGAGCATCCAGAGAGAGTTCCGTTCTTTTCCACTTGTTTGTGTGCTCTGTAGGCCTCAGCCTGGGCTTGCTTAGACTCCGTCAGACACAGGTTTGCTCGCGGTGGTGCTCCTGCATCTCGAAGATCTGCGTGTAAGGGCTGAATAGTAATTGGAAGGCATGATCCTAAACTTACAGGGCACCCTTTGGCTGCAGTATCATTAAAAATTGCTGCTGAGGAGACGATCTAGTGGCCCCAAGATCAAGGTAGGCCCCCCGCTAGAGGAAGGAAGCAGGTGTATTGTGAGTGTGCATTGGTTTTGCAGACACGATTGATTTGAATCCTGGGTCTGCGGCAGCCATTCTGGTAAATAGGCTAATCATGTATGACACTTGTTGGAATCCATTTCCTTGTTTGTAGACTATAGGAAAAGTTACTTGACCTACCCAGAGGAGCTTAGGGTAAGGCTGAGCAAATAGCCAGGCCCTCTTCAGGGAGTGGCAGGTTGTGGGGTTGCTGTTGGACACAGTAGACTGGTGGGTGGACTGATCTTGAGGTCTTATCTTCAGTGCTCACCCTTTGCCATGGTAGGCAGCTTCCATAAATAGGGACCTTGGTATGAGAAGGGTCCCTTTGTCTGAGGTCACTTCCACCGCCATAGCTTGTACTCACTGTGTTATCTCTGTCACACAGGGCTGAGAACTACTGGTGGCGTGGACAGAACACCCGGACGCTGTGTGTGGGACCCTTCCCTCGGAACGTGGTGACCTCCGTGGCTGGCCTGTCAGCCCAGGACATTAGCCAGCCTCTACAGAATAGCTTCATTCACACGGGACATGGCGACAGTGACCCCCGCCACTGCTGGGGATTCCCTGACAGGATTGATGAGTGAGTACCTGGACAGACTAACCTGATCTGGTCCTGGGCTCCTAAGATTACTGGTCCCTCACTACACCGTGCACAATTCCAGAGATGGTGCTGTCTGTTACCGATGAGGTGAAGGCTGTAAGTATGCTCTGAATCCCAATACTTCCGAGAGTGAGCCGTACCGGGAGCTGGCAAAGAGCACCCCAGAGCTTTTTCAAGGCCAGGAGTGGTCAAGGTCTTACCTTTTTGACCTTTCCAACCGAATGAGGTCCATTATGAAAGCTCCCAGTCCCGGTTTTCCCCGGAGTGGAAAGCCGTTGGGCAGTGAGACCACCTTTACCCCTTGGCATGGGTGCAAACCTTCCCCATCCCTGGGCTTATTTATCATTTGTCCTCAGGGATCTTTCTTCGGTGTGACACTTGAACCACATACATTCCTGTACTGTGTGGCTTCTTCGGTGCCATTGTGTGTGACCGTTGCCCTTTCCCTTGTGACCACCTCCTGTGCTCTGGGTTGGAGGGCATGTGGGTTAAGCCCAGCACTGCGTGCTGACTGCGGAGGGGAGCAACTGCGGGCCTCCCAGTCCTGCATTGTGCTGCAGCTTTTGCCTTAGAATAGCTGTGTAGGTGTCTGAGGTATGAGTAAGCAGAGATTGTTTCTGCCCTCGGTCCCCGCTGCAGGTTCTCAGCCTTACCCTCCTCCCGGGCTCTCTCCACACATCTTACTCATTTCTTTTCTCTCTCAGCTTCTTTTGTTCTAAAAATCCCACCTAGCAGATGAGAGTAGCGTATGGAGGTGGGGTGGGGCAAGGTGTAGGCGCCCCCCCCAATGCCAGGGAACCCTTGGGGGTGAGGAGGCCAGGGCACTCCTTGCTGGGTCCCCAGTGTTCTCTTTTTCCCAGCATTGCCCTGCCATATCTGTGGGGCAGAGCAGCTCTATCCATGTGGTTTTCCACTGTGAGTAAAACCAAAGCCAGGAAATCCCAAGGATCAACTCAGTTTTACTTGCTAAAAAGTCCACTGTCACCCACCAGAGGAGGCACCACCATCTGGCCCACGGGACACCTGTCTCCCGGTGGCATTTTCCTTCAGGGGTTCCAGAGTTCTGGAGCTCTGACCTAGGAAGTCATGTCTCATGTCTGTACAGATCCAGGCAGGAGGGAGTTTGCTTCCCAGAAGTGGGCACAGGCCCTGGAGTGGTGGGGGGTGGGGGTGGGGAGTGAGGGGGGTGAGGGGTTGGGGGAAGTGAGAGCAGGGTGCTTCCAGGCTCTTCCTAGAGTCACTCTGGGGGAGGGGGCCACCTTCACAGTACCTCACCCATCCCAGGTCAGCTCTGTTAGCTTTCCTGCTAGGTCTCTGCCTCTGTGGCCTTTCTCCAGCTGCCTCCTCCTTAGGGTATGGTAAAATAGGCCTTTGTTCTCCCATACCCCACACTCTAGAACATCAGGCCCTTAGAGGGCTCTGCTCAGGTCCTCTGCCTCACAGGAGATTAAGGAGAGGGGAGGCCCTTGCAGGAGGCCTGCACCCTCTGTCCCACTCTTAGCCAGCCCAGCCTCATTCTTCCAGGCTTTAATCAGCTTTAGTGACTAAGTCCCAGATCCCAGACCCTGACAGTGTAGGGCTGGGTGAGTGCGGAGCCTACCCGGCAGCTCAGCCTCCTCCCCGTTTCCTGTGCTTCAGCAGGGAGCTGCCTCCTGCCCACCCTTCTGGAGGCTAGCAGCAGTGCCTTCTCTTAATTCAGTCTCCCAGGAGGGTCTGAAGAGCAAGCGTGTGCCAGCAGGTAGAAGGTTGGCATGGGTTGGGGTGCTGTCGGGGTTATCGGGGACTGGCTTTGCCCTCATCGGTACTGGAGTCCATGAAGGCACAGGGTTTTCAGCCTGGGTCAGGTGTGCTGTCCCTTGGGAGCCGCCTCTGGTTGAAGATCCAGGAGATCAATACAGACCCAGGAGTCTGGGAGCCTTGGGACTCAGCTTCCTCTAGGATATGTCTTAGTCTCTGCACAGCCCTCTGAACACTCAGGGAGGTTTTGTTTGGTTTTGTTCTTGACTTGGCCTTAGGGGATGGACCCAACATCCATCTGCCAGAGGTGTCTCTGCCACCTCTCCAGCTTCTGGCCTGGTTCTCTCCCGACAGGCTATACCTGGGAAACCCCATGGACCCTCCTGACCTGCTGAGTGTGGAGCTGAGCGCCTCCCGGCCCGCCCAGCATCTAGGAAGAGTGAAAAGTAAGAGCCCTCCCATCCCCTGGTGTTTCCAATTCACTGGCACCCTGAGCCTGCTGCTTTACTCTGGGGACAGTTGGGTCAGAGCAGCAGGTGGGACAGCTGGGTCCCTGGCTCTGGCTAGGCGTGGGGTGGGAGAAGAGAGGCAGCTGTATCCGCAGAGGTGGGCATCCTTGGGTTGGTCCACACTGGCCCTACAGCCTCAGCTTCCTCCTCCCTCCTTCCTCACCAGGCTGTTCAGATCCTGGCTCCCTTCCTTGCCTTAATCATCTCTTCTCTGCCGAGCCCACACCCCACACCCCACTCTGGGCTCCAGCTCAGCCAGGGCCCCCATCTACCTCCCAGGCCCTGTGCCTGCCATTCTGGAACACCATGGTTCCATCCTGCCTCCCCATTCCCTTCCACCCCCATCTTCAGTTGGGTTTATACATTTGCTCACTCCTGTCCACCCCTCCCCCTCCCCCTCCTTCTCTCCCTCCCTTCCCCTCCCTTTCTCATCTAAACTCTTCCCTCTGGCTGGCTCTCTCTCCCACCCCACCCCTGACCTGCTTGGTTACCCTTCTCTGCCTCCTTTGTCCGCATGGCCTTTCTTACAGGGGAGCCTCCACCTCGCCCACCTCAGCCTGCCATCTTCACTCAGAGTAAGTGGGGCTGCCCAGGGTGCCTTGGCCCCTGCCCCCGCCCTCTCTCTCCTCTCACTTCTCTCCTGGAAGGTACAGAGCCCTAGCGGCTGTCCGTGTGGAAGGGGAGTGGGTGTGTGCTGTGAGCTTTTGCTGCTGAGCTGGCCTGGCTGGGCATGCCTGCCTCCCCCATCTGTGCCCTCAGAGATATGTGGTCCTGCTGTGGCTCAGCCAGCCTCACACTTTCAGACCTGCAGAGGTTGTGTCTGGGGTGTTGTGGTGGCTATCAGGAGCTCTGTCCTCTGAGGGAGGTTCCTGTTGGCCCATGCCTACTCTAAACCACGATAGAGGTGGAGTGAGGGTTACTAAACAAGGCATTCAGGGCTCTTGTGTTATGGAGACAGGTGTGAGTGGGGTGTTGCCTGCTCTCACTTGGGTAGAGTCGGGGTCCCTCCAGCTCTCATTGAGGCCTGAAGGCAGACAGAGCTGGTTCTGTCCTGTTTGAGTAGGGTCGGGTATGCTCATGGTGCACGGGCTGACCGTTAGGGGAGTTGGCAGTGCATAGTTGGGGGATACCTGGCTTTTCATCCTTCCCTTCCTTGCTTCCCATTCATACCTGACACTGTCTCCCTGTTGGGGTCTACCCCCCCTTTTTTTAAATCACAGAGCCAACATATGACCCTGTGAGTGAGGACCAAGACCCCTTGTCCAGTGACTTCAAGAGGCTGGGTCTGAGGAAGCCAGCCCTGCCCAGAGGACTGTGGCTAGCAAAGCCTTCAGCCCGAGTGCCAGGCACCAAGGCAGGCCGAAGCAGTGGGGGCGAGGTCACACTCATCGACTTTGGCGAGGAGCCTGTGGCCCCAACCCCACGGCCCTGTGCACCCTCACTGGTACAGTTGGCCATGGATGCCTGCTCCCTGCTGGACAAGACACCACCACAGAGCCCCACACGGGCACTGCCACGACCTTTACATCCCACACCTGTAGTAGACTGGGACGCTCGCCCGCTGCCCCCTCCCCCTGCCTATGATGATGTGGCCCAAGATGAGGATGATGTTGAGGTCTGCTCTATCAACAGCACACTAGTAGGTGCAGGGCTCCCTGCTGGGCCAAGCCAGGGTGAGACCAATTATGCCTTTGTGCCTGAGCAGGCCCAGCTGCCCCCTGCCCTGGAGGACAACCTATTCCTTCCACCCCAGGGTGGCGGCAAGCCACCCAGCTCGGCCCAGACCGCAGAGATTTTCCAGGCACTGCAGCAGGAATGTATGCGGCAGCTACAGGTCCCCACTGGCCAGCTGACCCCTTCCCCAACCCCAGGAGGCGATGACAAGCCCCAGGTGCCACCCCGGGTACCTATCCCCCCTCGGCCCACACGCCCACGTGTGGAGCTGTCTCCAGCTCCCTCAGGTGAGGAAGAGACAAGCCGATGGCCTGGACCTGCCTCCCCTCCCCGAGTGCCTCCCCGGGAACCCCTGTCCCCTCAAGGTTCCAGGACCCCAAGTCCCCTGGTGCCACCCGGCAGCTCTCCATTACCGCACCGGCTCTCTAGCTCACCTGGCAAGACCATGCCCACCACCCAAAGCTTTGCCTCAGACCCTAAGTATGCCACGCCACAAGTGATCCAGGCTCCCGGCCCACGGGCTGGCCCCTGTATCTTGCCCATCGTCCGCGATGGCAGGAAGGTCAGCAGCACTCATTACTACCTTCTGCCTGAGCGCCCTCCTTACCTGGAGCGCTATCAACGCTTCCTTCGGGAGGCCCAGAGCCCGGAAGAGCCGGCCTCCCTGCCTGTGCCCTTGCTGCTGCCCCCACCCAGTACCCCAGCCCCTGCTGCCCCCACTGCCACTGTTCGACCTATGCCTCAGGCTGCCCCAGACCCAAAGGCCAACTTCTCCACCAATAACAGCAACCCAGGGGCTCGGCTGCCACAGAGGGGCTGCCCGGGGGATGGGCGAGAGGCTGCACGGCCAGCAGACAAGGTCCAGATGGTGAGTACCAGGCCCACTTGAAGGTGAAGGGCAGGGGTCTGAGGGACCCAGAGGAATGGGCCCAAGTGGTGCTGATGGGTGGGTATGCCCAGCTGCAGGCCATGGTGCATGGGGTGACCACAGAGGAGTGCCAGGCGGCCCTGCAGAGCCACAGCTGGAGTGTGCAGAGGGCTGCCCAGTATCTGAAGGTACCATCACTTCCTGCCTGCTCTGGCGTTCAGGGGCCCTGAGAGCTGGTTCTGTTGTACCTGACCCTCCCCACTGGCTCCGAGTGCTGTGCCCGGCTCTGGTTTGGTACTCCCTGTCCCCAGTGTGTCTCATGGCACCACTACTCTTTGCCTCTAAGGTGGAGCAGCTCTTCGGGCTGGGTCTTCGGCCGCGGGTGGAGTGCCATAAAGTGCTAGAGATGTTTGACTGGGACCTGGAGCAAGCTGGCTGTCACCTCCTGGGTTCCTGTGGCCCTGCCCACCACAAGTGAGTGAGGCATACACTGCCCCTCCTCCCTCTCCCAGGAGAGCTATCCTTGGGGTGTGCCACTATAGATAGAAAAAGCTTACCTACCTCCCGAAGGGCCACACATAGGCAGGGAGGCCCCAACTGGTAGGGGAGAGGGCAGGGGCAGGGCCCCAGAGACAGGCGGTTTGGCTGGGAAAGGACTAGATGAATTCACCTTGGCTTTTTGGACACCTGGTTTTTATCATGAGTGAATGAGTGAAAGAGGGGTGGAGGCGGCTGGCTTCCCGAGCTCCTCTCAGCTGCCCAAGTGCCTCCCGATGCAACAGTTCAGTCCCGAAAATTTAACCAAACATTTCTTTGCTCTTTTATCATGTGCTGGTTGACGTGCCAGTTAGTACTGAGGAGAAGGGCGGCTCAGTGAAGAAGTTGCTTGATGTGCGGGCACGAGAACCTGAATTTGAGTCCCCAGACTGTGTAAAATATGAGTGCAATTTGAGCCTTTGTAATCCCATTGCTCTTATGGGAGAGATGGGAGGCAGGGACAGAATAACCCCAGAAATTTAAAGGCGGTCTAGCCTGGCATAAAAACCAGAGACCCTGTCTCAAGAGGAAAGGTGAGTGGCAGCCCCTGAGGTTGTCCTCCGACCTCGGCATACCCACTGTGCCATGTGCGCACCTGTATTCATTCACAAGCGTCATCACCCTCCCGCCTTTTGTTAATATGTTAATTTTTTTGTTAATATTTTCGATATGTTAATATCAATGCTTTTTGAAGGAGTAAACATCCAAAACAAACTGCTTACTTCAAGTTATATGTGTGTGCTCATATAAAATAAAGCATACACATTAATATTAATTGGAACCTTTATCAAGCCCCAAAGTGGTGAAACAGGCAGGGCTGAAACAGGTTTCGAGCCAGAAAGCAAGTGGGCTGGGTGCTGCGAGGCGGGCGGGCGCCTGGGGTGTGCCAGTCTGTGCTGCTCTTACACAGTGTAACCTTGTACTCCAGCCGGAAACAGTCAGAAGCACAATGGGAGAGGGCTGTGCCTTCCCACACACTGCACAGTCACTAAGCTGTAGTGTCTGCTGGTGGTTGTTCCTAATTTGCTGCCCAACAAGCTTGGGCTTCCTGTTGTCCTTGGCTACTCCAGTTCCCAGTAGTACTATTTCCTTAAGTCAAAAGGGACACTTTAGAGTAAGTTCTAAAGCCTGCAGGGCTTTCTCCATGGTGCCCAAAGGCAGTAATTCCCTGTGGTGACCCTGTATTTCCCATAAGCCGTTTAGCCCATGTTGATGGATGCACTGTTTGGTTATTGCCCATCTTTCAGACGCTGACAGTTGTTGGAGAGCAAGGGTCTGCCCTAGAGGAACCACTTGAATCTGTCTGTGGGACAAAGTTGGGAGATGCCCCGTCTCAGGCCTGGGGGCCCACTGCTGCCGGCTGCTCCCAGTGGACAGGGTGAGACCCAGGGAGGCAGCAGGAGACTGGGAGCCTCAGCCGCCCGCCTCACTCACCCACCCAGTGCTGTTCTGCACCTTGGTTCAGCCCTCAGTGCCCCAACCAAGAGGTGGGAAGGAGCCCTGTGAAGGCAAGATGGGAAGCTGCCTGGCAGGCCCTGTGTATGGCCTGCCTCTGGCTCCAGATCAGAGCTGGGCTAGTGGCTAGAGTGTGCCCCAGGCTTTGCCCTAGGGGGCTAGACTGAGGAAGCCAGCTTGACTTGGGCAACAAGGATGTGTTGGCTGCACAGAAGGGTAGGCCAGCATCCAGCAGGCCCTCCTCTGCACTGGGCCCTTTTCCAGGGAGCCCCTGTAGGCATTTGAAGTGTTGGACAGAGTGTGACCTGTGGCTTCACTGTGAACTTGCCTGCTCGGCTGCTCTCGGGATCTTATACCTGGAAACAGCCCGAAGTGGTTCAGAAGCAGAGAAACAGCGCCAGGTTCTTCTCTGGCAGGGCCTGGGGCCCAAGGCCCCAGGTTGGAAGCAGACCCCAGGGGCACCAGTACTTTCCCTTTTGACCCCTGCTCTTCCCCTGTTCGATGTGTTCCCATCAGCCTCTGTTGCCAAAGTTGCTGCTCCAGCTATGGATATCTGCTTCTTCCAGAGAAATAAATTCTGTTTCTATTTTATGTTACCTGCTCATACCTGCCTGTTTCTTTGCTTGTGTCCCCCAGTCTCCACAGGTGGCTGATGTCCAGAGCAAGCAGCATTTTATTGCCACCTATAGGTGCAGAGAGGAACTGCAGCCTGGGAGAGCCTGTGTACCCTTAAGCAGCTTGTTTCATCTGGTCTAGGAATGTCAGTCTCTGGGGCTTTTGTTCCACGGACTTATGTGGGGCAGGCCACACTTTAGGAGACAGCCTAGTAACTCAATTAACTGGAGTTAAGGTCAGAAATGGATACCATCCAGGCCTTCAGTAGGCCCAAGCTTTTGAAGTGTGTTTCTCTGAGTAATGTATTTACTGGAGAGTACACAGCAGGGCACCCACCCTAGCTGCCCACTTCTGCCGCCCTCCCTGCCCTTTTCATCTGTTTCTTGTGCATCCCCCTTTTGAAAAACCTCATAGGAATTTGATTTGGCTCTTTGCAACCCTTAGCAGTCACAGGCACTGTGGCCATACACTGGGTATATGGGCTGTTCCCCACTGGCAATGAGCTCCGGGTGAGGGTGGAGGCTGCGGAATTGTTCAGTGGTCTTACCAGCAGTGAGCAGGCAGCCTCCTGGTCATTCCCAGACTGCTTCGAGGCAAATGGTGCTGATAATTCTCATTTACATGTCTCACATATGAGTAAGGAGACTTCCGAAAAGTAAGTTGGATGGCTGGAGAGATGGCTCAGTGCTTACAACTATTTACTGCTCTAGCAAAGGACCCTGGCTCAGTTCCAGCATCTGCGGGGCGACTATGCCTGATCTCTATGGTCATCACACATACATACAGTGCACATGCGTCCATACAAAGTAGTCATACTCATAAAAATAAGAAAAATATGTTTTTAAGAAATTTGAGCTAGGGGGTGTCTGTTGCAGTGATAAGAGTGTTCTCTGTACAAGCCTGTGGACCTGGATTCGAATTCCCAGCACCACTGTAAACTAAAAAGCCAAAGCCAGGAGTGGTCTGTAATTTCAGCATTCAGGAAGCCAAGGCCAGAGAATCATCACAGTTTCCTGCTCAGCCTGGCTGGGCTGCATCAGATCTGTCTCAAAAACAAAAACCCAGAAATATGGGCCAGCTAGATGATTCAGTGGCTGCAGGCATTTACTATGTAAATCTGAGTTTGATTCCTGGAACCCACAGGGGAAGGAGAGAACTGACTCCCAAAAGCTGTTCTCTGATGGTTGCATGTGTCATGTGTGTGCACACATGCAGGAACACCACTCCTGATTCATGTTTTCTTTCTGTTAATATCCTTGGCTTTGGGTACTTATTTATGTATGTTTTTTGAGACAGGGTTTCTCTGTGTAGTCTTGGCTGTCCTAGAACTTGCTCTGCAGACCAGGCTGGCCTGGAATTTACAGAGATTATAGGCGTGCACCACCACCATCCCTCCTTGGATTGTTTTAAAAGTAAGATTATTAATTTCTTGCTTGGTTTTAGGAAGCTACCAGGAAGCCCTTTTGAGTTCCCCAGATTATATAAATCTTAGGAAGAAAGATAAATCATGGAAAGCAAACTGACAGCTGGGATTCGTTAAAGACAGCAGAGCGAGGCGTGCTGCTGCCGTCCTTGAAGACTCAGGTGGAGCCGAGTTCAGGTCCGCTCATGTTACACCACAAGACCCTATTTAAAACAACCACACAGAAACTTCAGAGTGTCCTTGGCCACTGGGTTACATAGGAACATTCCGGGTGTGCTGGGCCACTGGGGCTCCAGACTGCAGTGGGCGGGAGCACAGACTCTGAGGGATGGAGCCTTCAGACCCAACCATGCTATAATTACGAAGGGACTGGTGGCCTGTGTCCAGCTGGCACGGCCTGCAGACTTCAGGCAGATGTCCTCCCAGGCTGACTTGTTCTTTACCCTCTGAAGGGAGGAAACAGTGGCAAGTGGACAGGGTGTGTGTGTGTGTGTGTGTGTGTGTGTGTGGTGAATGCTCTGTATATGTGTGGTATGTCTGTGTGTGTGGTGTGTGTGTGTGTGTGTGTGTGTGTGTGTGTGTGTGTGTGGTGTATGCTCTGTATATGTGTGGTGTGTCTGTGTATGGTGTGTGTGTGTGTGTGTGGTGTATGCTCTGTATATGTGTGGTGTGTCTCTGTGTGGTGTGTGTGTGTGTCTGTGGTGTATGTGCTGAGTATGTGTGGTGTGTCTGTGTGTGGTGTGTGTGTGTGCTTTTGTGTGTGTGTGTGTGATATCTGTGTGTGGTGTGTTGGGGGAGGGAGTTTATGTGCCTTCATCTGAACAGACCTCAAATCTCCAGGCAGCCCATGCCATATTATACAATGTGTGGTGCTTTTGTCATGCAAATTCGGATTATATTTCAGTTAAAATGATGTCATAAGGAATTATGGAAAAGATGGATTCTAGGTAAAAAGTGCCTAGAATCTAAAGTTAACTCATTTTCTAGAACCCTTGCATAGATGAGGCGGGAGGGTGTTGCTTATAAAATAGAATTTTCAAACTCTAAAAATATTTGTCAGCCATATCATCAGTGGAGAAAAGTAAGCAGGGTTGGACCAAGGGATTTTTTTTAAGGTTTATTCATATGAGTGCTTTGCCTACATGTATGTATGTATGTCTGTAGAAGTGTGAGCCTCCATGCGTATGCTGTGAATCGAACCCTTCACGGGAACAAGTGCTCCTAACCCACTAAGTCAGATAACTCTCCCTGGCCTGGGGTCTTTTCTCTGTTCTTAAGAAAGTCATTTAACCACTGGGTGGTGGCACACGCCTTTAATCCCAGCACTTGGGAGGCAGAGGCAGGCGGATCTCTTGAATTTGAAGCCAGCCTAGTCTACAGGGCTAATTCAAGGCCAGCCAGAGGTACACAAAGAAGGCCTGTCTCTAAAAATCAAAAATAAAGGCATTTAACATGGGCCAGAGAGACAGCACAGTAGTCAGTTTATAATGGCCCTGTAGAAGATCTTAGGTTCCCAACAACACACACAGTGACTTACTTATAACTCCAGCTCCAGTGTATCCAAAACTCCTGGTCACAGGTACCGACACTCAAGTCTGTACACCCACACACAGACACACAAAATAAGCTAGGCATGGTGGCACATACCTTTAATCTCAGTACTCAGGAGGTAGAGGCAGGTGAATTTTGAGGCTAGTCTGGTCCAGGCCAGTCAAGACTAATGAGACTCTTAATAAATAGACAAAATCTTTAAAAGTGGGGAAAGGCTGCTCTCCCAGAAGACCCAGATTCAATTCCCAACACTTATGTGGCAATTAATTCCCAACCGTCTCTAATTCCAGTTCCAGGGTATCCAATCCCCTCTTCTGGCTTCTGCAGGCTTGAGGGAGACACTGTGCAGACAAAGGATGCAGGCAAAACACCCATATACAGAGTACAATAGAAATAAATGTCGTTTAGCCTTCCTGAGCTTCTGGAAGGAAGAGCTGTGGGGCTAGAGATGGGGAAGGCACTTTGTCTAGTGCACCGGCCACAGTAAAGCACCCACTAAACCGATCCTATGAATCCTAGCTTAATGGCAAACATCAGCTATTCTACGCCATCTGAGTCCTGATGCCATTTCTCCTTAGCCGTCCCCCCCCACATACACACTTTAGCAATGGAATATTTTTTCCTTACATCCAGAGATATCTTATAGATCAATTTTCAACTCCATTTTAAGAAGACAAAACAAAAAATTGTGCTGTAAGTGGACATCATGTAAGACTGTCATAGAGAATGTTTCAGAAAGCCTTTCGCAGGACTGCATGCCAGAGCAGCTGCGGCTCCTGGGGGATCGGGAATGCAGTGCTGTGTTTTCTCAACTCCAGGCCTTCCTGCTGGCTTCCCCCTAATCGACCTGCCAGCTCATGCCGCATCCCCATGTGTAGCAGAAGCTGATCTGGGTTTACCAACCGCTGGGAATCAACTCAGGATTTGTGCAATCTGTCATCCCTGCTGACAAAACGAACACGATCTGAATAGATAGTCTGTGCTGCTGGGAAAGAGTGACATCATCACAGCAAGATGGTGAAGCTCCATAGTCATTGTGTGCACAGGGAGGTGGCTCCCCAGACGGTGACTGCTGACTTGGCAGATATGAAAAGCCAGGAAGGTGAGGGGCGGGCCTGGCTTGTACTGAGCCCTTTCTCTTCCTGTTTTGGGCTGTAGATTGAAGGTGCTTCTCAGATCCTGGTTAGTGACAGGTCTCAGAGCTGAAGCTGCTGGGCTCCTTTTATTCTGTAGACAGGTGATGGACTCTCTCTTTAAGCCCAATGGATCTGCTTAACAATAGCCAGTGTAGCTAAAAGGAAAGAAAGATCTAGCATGCGACCCCCCTTCACATTGAAGGCAAAAGGTGTTTTTAACTTGAAGCAAGTTAATTTTTACAGAACTTTCAACTTGGGGACTTGCTCCTGAGCTTCTCAAAGGCCGCCCAAGGGCTATCAAGTTTTGTGTGAAATGATAAGATCAAGAACTAAACTGTGAGGTTTTTCTTTAAATGTATTCTATTTCTAAAAAATTTCTTAGACAAGTCTTTCTTCATTTTTGGTAGTAACTTTGCTTCCAGACCTTATACCTGGATGCTCTATCTGCATCAAGAATTGCTTGAATGCTATTTGCAATCCACCTTGGGTTGAACCCTGAGCAATTGCACCTTTGTGTTGGCTGCGCCACCTATTGGAAAATGGAGACACTACATTCTTGAGCTAGAGCTGATGAAGTCATTGCCCAGAGCAAACCATTAAGAGTCCAAACCCAGGTGTGGTGGTGGTGCACACTGCAGGCGGATTTCTGTGAGTTCGAGGCTAGCCTGCTCTATAGAGCAAGTTCTAGGACAACCAGGGATACACAGAGCAACCCTGACTCAAACGCGCTCCCCCCACCCCCAACCCCACCCCAAATAAAAGAGTCCAAACCCTGTTTGCTTAAAACCATGGGTGTTTTAGGGATTCAACCCAGGGGAACTTAGAAGGGAATGGGTTTGCCCACCATTGGGGTCAGCTAGGGTCTAAAGTA